GTGAGTAGCAACAAGTTTTTGGCGCCGTTGCCGGGGATTACTATTTCAACATTAATAGTAGCTATTAATTCTTTAGATTGGACCTTATTTTCTGTTATTTAATTTTCTGTTATTTAAATTCAGTTTTATTTTCTTATTTTATATAATCTATTTTTCTGGTTTATGCGAGGTACCGTTGACACCGATTCCTTGCAATTCGACCCGGAGATAGAGAAAACAGCAAAAAGAAACAGAAAACTTGCTAAAGAAAGAAGACAGCAAGAGAAAGAAGCTTCAAGCTCAACAGAACCAAGAGAAGAAGCAATGGGAGACAACAATGTACCTCCACCACCTCCGAGAACGTTGGGAGATTACATGACTCCTGCTCGAGTTCCACAGACGGCGAGTATTGTTAGAACAAACGTGGATGCTAACAACTTTGAACTCAAGCCGGCACTTTTACAATTAATTCAGAAAGACCAATTTGCCGGAGGAAGCACTGAAGACCCTTACATCCATCTGGAAAACTTCTTGCTATATTGTGATACCTTGAAAATGAACGGGGTGTCTCGGGATGCTATTTTGCTCAGGTTGTTCCCATGTTCACTTAAAGACGAAGCAAGAGGATGGTTGCAATCGTTACCTCAAGGAAGCATCACTCACTGGGATGACTTGGCAACCAAATTTTTGGATAAATTTTTCTCATCTTCGAAGATGGCAAAGCTCAAGGCGGATATCACTTCTTTTGAACAAAAAGAAAGTGAATCTCTATACGAAGCATGGGAAAGATTCAAAGGACTGCTCAGGAAGTGTCCCCAACATGGCATTGAAGCCTGGGAGCAAGCGAAAACCTTCTTCCAAGGGATGACGCCGAACACAAGAACAGTGGTGAATGCTGCATCAGGAGGGTCCTTGAAGACAAAAACTCCAGAGGAAGCCTTGGAATTACTAGAGTCTCTAGCCTCTCAGGAGTATGATAATGCTCCCGCACCACAGAGAAGAGCGGGGATTATGACCATTTTACAAGGTGTACCTTAAACATTGTTTGAGTCCAATAAATTTCACTAAAACAGAAAAGGAAAAAAACGAATTGCTTGAAAAATAATTTTATTCATTATTTTAAAACTCGGATCGGTCATCGACAACTGGGTTGAGGTATTGGATCACTGCATCATTGGTTCAACCGGGTTCAACCAAATTTACTGTTCACATATTAAAAAAATATAAACATATTACTTATATTAAAAATTCACATAAAAAAACTATCAATGAGCTTCAAAAAATAAATTGACTCTCAATAATAGCAAATATTATATACTTCTAGACTTATAGCTTTAGACCATATTCTAACATTGGATCAAAATTGCAATGTAAGCTAAATGTATCTTTTATGCTGTTGAGATATATAAAATCATTAATGTAGCCTCACCCAATAGCTTAAGCTTTTGGGTTGAATTGGTTCTTTACATGGTATCAGAGCCTGGTGTCCCGGGTTCGATCCTCGCCGCCCCCCACTTTCTTTCAAGTGGAATTTCTTTGTTCGCACAGGTAGGTGGGCCTGTGCATTGTCCACCCTTCAAGCCCGATGGGCTCTCGTGTGAGGGGGCGTGTTGAGATATATAAAATCATTAATGTAGTCTCACCCAATAGCTTAAGCTTTTGGGTTGAATTGGTTCTTTACATGTGCCTTGACATAACTAAATTATGATAACGAATGGTAGACATGAAATATACACTAAGGAGAAAATGTCGATCGTTAAAATGAGACATCAATGTTTATCCCCACTGAATTTTTTGAGATCATTATAAGATGCAACAATTTACATAAATAAACTGCATTAATTTAAAATATCTTCTTATTTTCACCTTACTTTTTAATCATATTTAACGCAAAATATGAGCATGATTTAATTTAAGAGTTTTCAGTAACCAAAAAAAAAAAAGATTTACCTATAAAAAAGGGGTCAACCGGTCTAACCCGGGTCGACCGGGTCAACCGGTCCAAACCGAATTGACTGCAGAACCGTTTCAAATGATTGCTCGGACCAAAAACTCCCCGTGTCACATAGTCCCGGGTTGACCCAGTCGGTTCGAGCCAGTTTTTAAAACACTGATTTTATTCTTATTCACGTATTTATGTAAATAAATAGATAACAATGCAATACTTTTTTTAAATTTTTTAAAACGATTTAGATTGTACACACCTTTACATTATATAACTATGGGTAAAGCTACCCTCATGTAACATAATTTAAACAAATTTTCCTACTCAAACAAAAATGCATGTGGGTCCCATACCTGTAATAAAAACAAAAAGTAAAAAAATAATAGTGTGAAAACCAATGAGTCAGTAGGTAAAAAATCTTATATTATGTGACGTGATACTCATTTTTTCCTATAGCTATCATTATATATTCTTCCTTGAGAGGACAATATGCTTTTGGAATAATTTTTTGTTATCATCGCTCTTTTGAATTTCTTCTATATATTCACTTACTATTCTTCAAAATTTGAAATGATCTCATTTTTTTTAATATAATCCATCTGCTTTTCAATTACGTCAATTGGTTCAATTCGAGCTGGGTAAGATTATATGGGTGACAAAATTCTTTTTATCAAATTTTAATACAATTACGTTCTTAGAAACTCAAAATTACTAATTAAACTGAAATAACCTCTTACTAGTTAATCCACGATATCCTTTTTTGACAACACTGACTATATGGGAGTTCAATTATACGGCAGAGGTCTGCATTGGGCGGTTTTTTTTTTTTTTTGTCAGTATATGTGTTTGGCCTGGTCTATTTTTAGAAATAGAAAGCAAGTCCATACTTTTTGGACCCAAAAATGTCCATACATTTTCCCACTAGCCCATTTCTATATGATTCACAAACTCATCGCTCTTTTGAATAACTTTTAGTTATCATCGCTGTTTCGAAATTCTTCTATATATTCACTATATTTACTCACTGATCTTCAAAATTTGAAAGGATCTCGTTTTTTTAATGTTATCCATCAACTTATTTATTATTCAATTAGTCCGATTCCAACCGGGTAAAATTATGTAACTGACAAAGTTCTTCATATCAAATTTTTACACCACTGCATTCTTTGAAACTCGAACTTGAAAACACTGATTAAATTAAAACAATTTCTTACCAGTTAAACCGCGTGCTTTATTGGGGGAGGATCTCCTATTTGGACAACACTGACTATGTGGGAGTTCAATTATCCGGCAGATGTCTGCATTGGGCCGGATTGGTTTTTTTTTGTCAGTATATGTGTTCGGCCTGGTTTTATTTTAGTAATAGAAAGCATGTCCATGCTTTTTGGACCCAAAAATGTCCATACATTTTTCCACTAGCCCATTTCTATATGATTCATAAACTCATCAGCATTCACTTCCAATTCTCATGGACTTTATTTTGATTTTGCAAGGGTCCATAAATCTCATTGAGGAGGTAAATTAATGTTCGAAATAAATATAAATGTGTGAAAGCTTTTTAACATTAAAAAAAAGTGGTAAATTAACTAAAAGGAGTAAGTATGGTGAGATAACTGAAACTTGGGAATCACAAGCTCGACAAGACGACAACTAAACCAACACAGATAAGTTTTGATCGGATTTTATTCAATTAGATTCAATTATTCAAATCAAGTTAAACCAATTTGATTAGTTTAGTTTATATTTTTGCATTTATTGATTTAATGTAACCTGATAAACACTCCTATATCAAATCAGCCCTGATGTCAATGGTTGAGAAGTACAAAATGGTACGTTTTATTGTATTTAATTATTTTTTCTCCCTTTTTTTTTCGGTAAACAATTATTTTTCTCCCTTTAGGTACGAGAAGAATGACGTAGGATAAACCCATTTTGATTATTGACTTTGGTCTAATTCTAAAAATTGACTGAAATATTTTTGGTTAATATTAGGCCAATTGGCCACACCCAACTTAATATGATGTTACATAAAATTTATAAATTTATAATTTTTTTTTAAATTGGATTAAGACTTTATCTATTGGATGATTATTTTATTATTATTAATAATATAGTAAACTACTAAATTAATATTCTAAAAATTAACGTGTCATCAGGCTAGTTTTTTGAAAAAAATATTACGAGATTAGTTTTTCAAATATTTAAAATATAATCATATTTTTTTTTACAAAAATAATTAAAATAGTAATAAAAAACATATTTAATGGAAATTTTCAAAACATTAATTTAATGAATTTGTTTTGAGAAAATTAATGTATAAAGATACACTAATTTTTGAATAACTAATTTAGCGGGGTTTATAAATGTGTGAAAAACATATATTATGAATGAGGAAGAATGACTCAAGTTATTAAAAATATATATTTAAACGTGCCAGTGTGCCACTGTAGAAATTGCACGAGGTCCACGAGGAAACAGAGTATATTTATATTAATTAATTCAAAAAATAGTTATCCAGTATTCATTCAAAATTAATTACAAGCCACGCGGACTGCACGACATGCAACGCTTTCTACGTGATGTAACTTTGCATTTACATTTTGAAGAGATTATCATATCTATGAGCTGCTAGAAGAATCCAGATATGTACTCTAGTTATATTGAATGTTGTAAAATATGCCCTGGTTTCTTATAATTTTTGCTTTAAATTTATAACCTTATACTTAGTCAGAGTCCTCGTTACTAAAATTATCTTATTCATGTTATCAAAAAAAAAAAAATTATCTTATTCAAACATGACCAGCTTCAGATGTGTAAATAACGTTTTCGTCTTATTAGACGGAACTTTTATTATTAATTATTTTTCGGGGCCAGTTATAAAATAATATAAATATTGGTTCCAAACATTAAAGAAGAAATCCATCACAGTGGAAATAAAATAAATAAAATAAAAAGATGTACAGGTGGCAGGAGGAGAGAGTAGCTGTGACGGTTGGAAGTGCCCAACACAGAAATGAAGGTTAGAAGCTTTCATTTTGTGTGAAGAGCATATTTTGTCCGATTCCACAACGTGTCTCTTCCGTGCTTAATTTTAATTACATAAATTTAATTGCCTTTCTTTTTCCCCTTTATCCACCTTACACTCTTACACACATATACACACAACAAAACCCAATTTCATTCAAACGCAGGAAAAATCGAAACAAAACAAAAACCAAGTACTTTTTCTCTGTTCCCCCCCCCCCCCCCCTCGTGTTTTCATCATTTGCTTCAGTAATTTATAATTTTTTTTTTTTTTTTTGGAAATTTGGTTTTATTTTATTTTTATAATTTCTGGCGTTGTCTTTCTCTCATCAGTTTTGTGAAATTATTCTTTTTTTTCTTTTTTTTTTGGGAAATTGGCAGGTGAAAATGGCGAGCTCAGTGGAGAAGGAGGTTGCAGGTGCAGGTGCAGGAGAAGGAGCAGGGGATGAAGCTGTCTCCTTGGAACTTCCTGCTCCACCTGGTTGGAAGAAGAAGGTCCCACTTCTGATTCCTTGTTTTTCTCTCTTCTTTGACTATTCAATTTTAGGGGAATTTGCATGCCATCTTATCGTAATTGCTTGTTTCCTCTCGAATTTTGATGTGGGTTTCGTTTATTTTGCGATTTTGCGTTGGTTAGATGCTGAGCTGATGCTACCCTACCTAGGGATTTGGATTTTCTTTTCTTTTCCTTTTTTTTCGCATTTGCTTATTTCTTCTTGAATTGCGACGTGCTGAATATTTATTATTCGAATTTCACTTCAAAGCTTTAAGCTTTTTGTCTTCTGAATTCTGAAAATTATCTAGCTGCTGAGTGCTAAGTTGCCTGTTAGGGTTTTCTAGACGTATCCTATATTTCCATGTAAGGAAATGGATTTTGATGGATTCTTCCTGTGTCTCATGTAATATTTCCACTGACCGGTTTATCACTTTTCATTTCCAAAATTTTGTAAGTTCTGATTCTCACACTTAGGGGTGGCAATTTTAGTTGGTGGGTTGTGTTTGAGTCGACACAAATTCAACACGAGCACAACAAGAATAACTATTTGTGTCAAAACTCTCACACTTACACAACCCATTTATTATGCGGGTTGACACAACATGAATAACCCATCAATTTTATTTTTTGAATGAATATCACTTAAATAACCTCAATTGTTAAATAAAAGTGGGATGAGTGAGGATAAATATGTAATTATATAACTGTTTAATTTAAACCCATCAATTGTGGGTTGCATTCTAATTTACTGTAGACCTACACTTGAGGATCATATTTATTCATTTGTTTCATGGTTACAAGAAATCATCCTTCTTTCCAACTAATAATTGTGACTGAAGAAGTTCGCTTCCTGTATAGGACCGCAATTTCGTGTATGGAACTTTTGCACAAATATATTGTGGCTTACTTTGTGGAAATTTTTTACTTTGGTTTTGTAGTTTTTTAATTTCATAACATGGGTACCATTTGATTGAACTTGATTGTTCCTGTACTAGGTGTTTGTATTATTGATCTTATTCTGCATTTGGACATGGAAACTCCATGAAGTAAGACGTTTTTGCAGTTTCGTAGCTCTAGGTGTTATACCACAGGATAATGATTTCTAATGTTGTTGTCTTGTCTTGTCGGTTATGTTTATTTGTTTGTTCTAGGTATAGTCCTAACATGTGCAGTAATTGCCATATAAATTCCTTTTTCACAATGATAGATGAATTTATAATATTGCTTTTTCAGAATGACAGGAAAACACAGGTTAACTTGAATTACTTGTGAGTAAAGATTATCTTTCTTCATTTTCCGGGATATCTTTTACAAATATCCGTTCTTGGGCAATTGTGATAGTTTTACTCTTGTATTGGAATCAATTCCCACTGTTTCCCCAAAGAGCTGAGAAAATATAAGTGGCAGAAATCAGAAAAATATCTTCAGTCATTTTATGTTTGAGTCCAACACAAGTTGCCATTCTCAGAATCTTGGCTTGATGATTTTATGATGTTCTGCTAGCCCTATGATAGTGAGCCTTTTATCTGATTTTCTTTTTACCATTATCGGACAAAAAATAAAATAAAATTACAGGGCATGATTCATTCAACAAATCCTTTTTTGTTGGCTCTAGTATTTTTTTAATTACTGCATAATTGATTCGACAGAAAATATTTGGTGCTGTGTGTTAAGTAGTTGAGATTGGCTCCAGGACTATGAGTAAAGTTGCCATTCTATCTTTACAAGTGGCCATTTTTGGGGGAACATGAATAGATTTGTTCTTGTATCAGAATCACTCTCCAAGTGCTTTATAACCCCCCCAACCCCCCCCCCCCCCCCTCTTTTTCTCTTTTCCCCTAAAAAAGGTGAAAAATAAAAAGTTGCTGAAATTGTAACATATCTTGAATAATTTCATGTTTGAGATCTAACACAGTTTCTCATTCAGTCGTTCTAATTTTTTTTTTCTCTGTTTAGTTTTTATGGTGATCACTAGCCCTATGATTGTGATCCAGTTATCATATTTTCCTCTTAGCACCGATCTCAAAATATTACAGGGCATTAAATAATTGAACAGATCATTCCTATTTACTCAAGCATTTTTTAAAAATGTAAAACATCATGTGGTTAGACTGAAAATATTTTATGCTGCTGCATGCTACAATAGATCTTAAGCTGAGGAGGTTGGACACCAGGCTTAGTGTGTGTTAGCAAATCTGAGACTGAACTGAGCATGAGCCAAATGGTATATGGGAACTCGGTTATGTCGTTGTGGAAAGTATGTCCACGTATAAGACAGTGGGAGCCAATGTATCAGGTTGATTGTTGACACAATCTCTTTAATATTTTAGTGTACCAGACATAAGTTGTAACTTATTTGATCTGGTGCTTAGCTGGGCTCTGGACATTCTAACACTTGTAATAAGGAAAGGAGCCATGTAGCTTTATGCAAGTAGTGCAGCTTCTGTATGAATGTGTTATTTACAATGAAATTTGCTTACAGCATTTGTTTGAGCTTTTATGCCTCCTTGTGACTTTGTGTGCAGCTCATTTCGATTTTATTAGATAAAATTTTATGTTGTAGGATAAATACCTTCTTTTATTCATAAGGTGCCACAATCATGTCCTGGCATTTTACATGAAACATTTTATGTTACTTTTTCTGGTTAACTTCAAATGAGCATGAAGAAACCCCTGTTAAATATTATATGGGGTTTGTGATCATGAGGAAAAAAATTGTTTTATTTTATATTCATTTTTTATTACTTTCTCCTTGTGAGTTGTCATATTTCTTTAAGTCAAAAACAACATCAACTTCAATTAATTCAAATGTAATTACAATCTCGTTTCTTACCATGTAATTACAATCATGATATTATCAATGTTATGCTTGCATCCATTAATTCAAATGTTACGTGACATCCCCGAAAATTAACTCAAGTCTTACATTTTTTCCCCCCCTCACATTGTACCCAGGAGAAACCCACCATTTAACAACCTTTATCGTATTTCTGGAAGTAAATTACATTGATTTCCACTTAGGTTTACAAAACCTATGCAATTGCCTCATGAAAAATATTTTAGAAACACATATGACCCCTATGTAAATTTTCCAGTGTGAATCTATGCAGAGTTTGAGCTATCTAGCTCTACCCTCTTGTCTATTAGATCATCCTAGATATATGTGCATTTACTATATGATTTATATAGTAATTTATTTGCATATCTGATATCTCTATGGTGATAAAATGGAAACAAGGTGGACAAGGGTGTAAATAAGCTGGGTTAGATTAGACTTTAACCTAAATAGGTCAAGCTTATACATAATAGTTTGAGTCTAGCCCAGCTTATTAACCTAATGTAGGCTAAATTATAGGCCTAGACTCTTTTTTTTTTCCTTTTTGAGAAAAGGTCTGGCTTAGGCGAATTATCCTATTTAAGTCTATCAAGAATTGAATAATAATTAAAATAATCTTATTCTATTATTTATTTTATTTTATTCAAAGTAAATAATATGATACAGGTCAGCCTTATATTGTTTTTGGATAGGCTTGACCATGTTTTATTTTACAAAATATACTAGGCCTGACCTATTTACAGCTCAAGCTCCCTATAAACTCACTCCTTTTTCCTAGACATACCCACCCTCTGAAACATATACCACAAGAGAGGTGTTTGTATATTACAAAACTAGAGGGGAATTTATGTAGGTTTTGTATGGGCAGTGTAGTTTACCTTATTTCCTACGACCGTGTGTCCTCTTACTTCTTGACGTTGTCCATTTATTTGCTACTACTGCAGTTTTAGATTGGTAAATGGTTCATATACAGCCTATATTTTTGCATTTTTGTGTTTCTTGCTCACAGTATGAGCCTCGGATACTTGTCTTCACATTTTCATCTCGTCCACACCATTCCATGGACAAAAGGTATAGCCTGAATGGAAGAATTAAAGAGGGAAAGAAAAGCCTTCTGACTGAACAAGGTTAATTTGGTGCCATGCTATTCTCTTCCTGAAGTTTAACAGTAAAACTGCTAGCTTATAACAGCCTATGATGTTTAACTAGGCACACATATGCTTAAAACTGTAAAAATAAATAACATTTTTGAAAGAGAGAGCAAGGAACATCATGTTTAATCATGTTTTCTCAAGGGTTTAATATACTATTCAAATCATAAATTGTGTTTTAGCTTTTAATTGCATGAGTATCAAAGACAACGCTGTAATGTAATTGTTATATGAAAGTAGTGATGAGAGCTTAATTTTTATATTAGGGATTATTTTTAGAAGTCAATAATTTACACCAAAATCTTCTATGTATTACAGATGTTAATTTGTTGCATGTTTTCACATATAAGATGATTCACAAATCATATTTTCTGTGCAGTTCTTTCCAAAAAAGTCTGGAACCCCAAAGAAAAATGAGATTGTGTTCACTGCACCAACAGGAGAGGAAATCAATAACCGGAAGCAGCTGGAGCAGTATTTGAAAGCACACGCCGGTGGCCCAGCTGTAACAGAATTTGATTGGGGCACTGGTGAGACCCCTAGAAGATCAGCAAGAATCAGCGAGAAGGCCAAGGTGGTTCCTCCACCAGAAAGTGAGCCCCCAAAGAAACGTGGCAAAAAGTCATCTGCTTCCAAAAAAGAAGCTTCTGAGGAAGAAAAAGAGGAGACAAAGGAAGTGCAAATGCAAGAAGCTGATGAAACTAAGGATGATAAAGATTTAGAGCAGGAAAAGAATGTTGTGAAGGAAAATCAAGATGAGAAGAGAGCAGAGGATACAGATGTCAAAGAATCCACTCATCCTGGAGAAAATGCCAATATGCCTAATGATCAGGAAAAATTCACTGCTGATGGAGAGTTACAACCCTTGAAAGAGAAACTTGATGACAAAGGAGTTGAGGGTTCTGAAGTTGTTCAGAATAAATATGAGGAAAAAATTGGGCAACCACTGGAAGAGACAAAGAAAGATAGTGGATATGTGGAGTCAGAGAAATCAGAAACAGTCCCTACTGCTGAGAAAAAGGTTGAAGTGGAAGGAGAGAATAAAGAGGAACACAACAGAGGCACTCACGAGTCTGAAGGAGAAACCAAGGAAAAAGAAGGAACCAAAGTCAATGAAGAACAATATAAGGTTCATGATATAAACAAGAAGGTTGAATCAGAGTTCACAGAGAACGGAAGCTGAACTGGTGAGGTCAAAGCCCTCCTTAAGTAAGGAACATAATAAACTCTTGGCTTCTCTTATTCTGACCCCTTTAGATCTGTCTGAGGATGACTGTAGTTTTTGTTGTTATTTATCCGATTGCTTATTGAAATGACTATAGACACTTAGAGTATCCATATAATGTACCATCCTTCTATGTATTGGAGGGACGTGTAGCTCCTGTTTCCCTTCGTAACATTATGTTGTAAGATACTTGTAATGTGATATGGACCTGTAATCATGTAAGTTCGTGATCTTAAATATTCTGTTTACTCCTAAACTATTGTTGCTACTCACGGCAAGTGCACCGATCGTACAAGTAATATATGATTAAGTAAGAGATCGTTCCCACGAGGATTACGGTTCAAGCACTAATTCACTATCGCAAACTTAGTTGGACAATCGAAAGTGTATTTGGAAACAGGATTTGAATTGCAAAATTAAAATATTAAATATTAAGCTAATTACTTGCAAGAATTAAAGATAAGAAATTAAAGATGTGATTTAACTAATAAAATAAAAACGTAGCTAGGGGTTCGATTTCATTTAATCTCCTTATTACGTTTGAATTCCTTCTTAATGTTAATTGTCCTTAGTATCAATCTAATCAATTCTTTCGCATGTTATTAGAGCTCAATCCCTTGTTACTCTAAAACCTTTACAATATTGGAAGAACCCTAGTTCCCCGGTTATTCCCCAAGCATGCAAGCATTAAATTCAAGAATCTTAAAGATTACGCAAACCCTATGTCTATCCCTAGAATCATAACGTTTACGATGAAGTTATCAGATATGGATCACACACCAACATTCTTATTGTCATGCATTCACCGATGATCATTATATAAGATTCAAGCCTATATAAAGCATTAAAAACAGATAACTTCATTCATGATATAAAGGAAAATTAACACAGCGAATTGTTCAAAACATAATAAATTGACTAAAATCCATTTAACCCTAACTACTTAAAGAACTAGCCGGACATAGCAAAATCAAGAACAAAAGAAAATAGAAAAGCTCCCCCAAACTCCATAAGTGATTGGTGGATCTTCAATATCTCCAGTGAACACTTGACGTTGATCTGTCTCCGCCGCTCACGAACATGAATCTGATGTTTCTCCGCGTTCCTTCAGCCTCCAAGCACCCAAGAGTTGTTTAGCAATGTAAAAGTTCTCTATTTCTGGTCCCCAATGGTGTTTTAAATAGGTCAAGAGTTCGTATTGCAGTAGAAAACTTGAATGGGCCTAAGTTGGACTTGTCTGGGCGCTTAAGCTTGTGAATGGGGTCTTAAGCTCCCACTTCTAACAACTTGATAAGATCTTCAATCTTATTGTTTTCACCTTGATTCATCTTCTTTTCTGATTTGATCTCTCTTTATCTAAATCTTCATATTTGAATCATTTGTTATCAAATCCCTTTAAAAATAACAAATATATTAATTAGTTCCAATAGTCAGATAATGTTCATGATTATCATTTTAAAACCCTAATTTTTGACTTGTTCAACTAGATAATTCATATTATTTTAGTCCATTAAACAAGATAAACTAAAGGTTTATCAAACAATTCCCAGATTTGAACATTGCTGTCCTCAGCAATTAATTAGAATAAAACTATGGGAAAGTTTGGAGACGGCTAGTCATGCTTGATGAATAACAGGCAGAAAACTGATCAATAATGAGATATCAAAGTATTCAGACTTGTTAAAAATCAATGACACATCAATTTCAAGCAAACAGTCATAATTCACCAGTCATAAAATCATAACATGCGTTCTCAAAAGAAAGAGTAGTACAATTTAATTTCCACAACACCCTCTCACTGGATTTTTATTTATTCACTCACATTAAGTGTTTAAGGGTATGTGTTTCACTCTTACTTCACTAAATTAACACTACCATAAGCTTGTTTATATTCTCACTCTCCACAGTCTTACTAGTATACAAAGTCAATCAAGAGGTCTTTGTTAAGGTTGTAACGTGGCTTAGGTAAAAGGAAAGGAATCATCTGGGTAAGTGGCTTAAGATAACTGATCAAAATTCAATTTCAAAGAGGAACTAGTTTAACTGTTCAACATATAGTAAACAAATTTCTCTTATTTTCCTCCTCTTTTCTTCTTCCACTTATTCATATAATATAAGTCTTTTATTTCTTTTCCTTCTTCCTTTTGTTTTTCTTTTTCTGTTTTTGTACAGATAAACAGTTCAACCTTTTTCTTTTCATTTCCTTTTTCTACCACTTTGTGGCAATTTCCCTCTTTTCACCTTTTTCTCCCATACACTTAGAGTTTGATTTTCTCTTTTTGTTTCAATCCTATCCAGTTCCTCATTTAATTTTGAAAATTAATCAGTTCAGGTGAGGATGTGTATGAAATGGCTATTCATAATGTACTGTCAATGAACAAACAGGCCTCGGCTCAAAAGGGCTTAATCTAAGAATAAACCTTTAGGGTGGCTATTTGGCTATCTAGCTTTTAAAAAGAAATGCCTCTATCATTTCAACAATTGTATACTACAGACCATTTCAAAGAGAAACAAAACAAGTTCTAGAGTGATTCAACAGTAAAGTTCACACCACAAAAAAAAATTCTGTTTAGGCTCAAAAGCTTACGGCTAAGGATGTGAGACTTATTTTTCCACTCTCTCTTTGATTACTCTAGTTATTCTTCTCTTATTCCAGTGAACTATGAAGCATGCTTGATTGACGCTCATTTATGTACGAAAATAAAATTTATTTACATCATTATACTCTTGATATCAACTATCAACCAATTTCATGTAATTATTCATTATGCATCCATATCAAGCACAATGGAAAATCTCTTAAGATCCACTAATTATTTATTGACTAAGATGGAAGGGGTCTTAAAAATAATTTAAAAAAAAACTTAAATATTAAACTAACTAATATATATGAAGACCTTAAAATAAACTAATACTAAATCAAAATAATATATTTAAAATCATATAATATGAAAATAATATTGAGAAACTCCCCTGAAAAACTGCATTTGTAATTTGGATATTTCTGTGTACTCCGTGTAATCAAGAGTTTCTTCTTCCGACCATGTGAAGTTTATGGTCTGATGAATTGCATGGTACCCATCCCCAGATTTAAATCTTGCTGTCCTCAGCAATAAACTTAAATCTAAAATAATCCTAAGCAAGAAATCAGAAAAATTTGATACTGTACTCTGCACACATGTCACAGATAAAGAAACTACGTCAGCATGTCATATCCCAAAAAAAAAATCATAGTCACGTCAAGATCAGTCTCAATATACATCTCATATCAACATGAACTAAAATCAACAAAAGAAAAAAAATCTAAACATTGAGACAATGGTCAATCCTCATCAATTTCAGTAGTGGGTGCAATATCATTTCTATCAGCATCCTGTGTAGTGTCTGCAACCATATCAGCATTAGTATTTGAGTATCCAACATGTTTGCAAAGTTAGTGCAATTTCCACATAACAATTCCCAGATTTATATTCAGATGCATCTGAAAATAATAATAAGTATATGGAACTGAAATACTTTAACAGTATGCATAATGTCAAAGATGAACGCGCTTAAGCGCAGTTTTTGGGGGCTTAAGCCTCCTTTAAGGGCTTAAGCTCTCAATACTTAGAAAATTTTCTCCATATTTTCCTATTCCTTGCATTCATCTCTACTGTGTATTCTTCCACCTCAATAATTCTGCTCAATATCATACACAAAACATATAAATGAATAAGAGTTGCGTACCTGTGTATGCTTTAATCCCACTTACACCTGAAAGTCCATCTCAACAGAATTTGATCATTAACCTCAATGTTTTTATTTTTTTGATTTTTATGATATGACTAAAATAAACTATGCTAAGAATAATTAAAATAAGCTAAACTAAATTTAAAATACTATACTAAAATGTTGGAAAATAAAAAATATAGTTGGGTTGCCTCCCACAAGCGCTTGTTTTACGTCACGAGCCTGACGTACCTCTTTTATGTTCATGGTGGTTCAAAGCATGGGCTTGGTGATGACCAAGCTCTATCATTCAGAAATGGTGTCCTCCCATAGTACTCTTGTGCATATGAGTGAGATGAAGTAGGCTCAATAGCTTTGAATTTTGTGTTTACGTGTTTTCCCTTGCTCCTGAGCTTCTCCATTTTAACCTTTGGCTTACTTTCTTGAGAAGAATTCTCTCTGTGCTCTTCTTCTCCTTTCTTTTCACTAATATAGTAGACTTGATCTTCCGGTTGAATTATAGGTGAGGGAACTTCTTTATCAAAGAACTTGAAAATTGCTTGCTCCCCGTCTACCCGTAAGATCAACTCGCCTTTCGGTACATCAATCAGCGCTCCCGAGGTTGCCAAGAAAGGTCTTCCGAAGATCATAGGAATAGTAAAGTTTTCCTCTATATCAAGGATGACAAAATCAACAGGAATGATGAATTTGTCAACCTTTACCAGTATGTCCTCAATAATGCCATAAGCTTGCTTTGTAAAGCAGTCAGCCAGTTGAACTATTGTCTTGGTTGGCCTTACTTCAGTGATCCCCAGTTTCTTCATCATAAATAGTGGCATCACGTTGATGCTGGCACCGAGATCACATAGAACATTTTTCACTTCCATATTGCCTATGTTGCATGGAATGCTGAATCTTCCTGGATCTTTAAGCTTTGGAGGCAACTTTTTCTGGATAATGGCACTGCATTCCTCTGTCAGCGTCACCGTCTCACATTCTTGTAGCTTACGCTTTCGTGATAGAAGATCTTTCATGAACTTTGCGTAATTGGGCATGTTCTCCAAGGCCTCAGTAAACGGGATATTGATTTGCAGCTTCTTGAAAATGTCAAGGAATTTGGAATACTGCTGCTTTTTGATTTCCTCTCTGAACCTCTGCGGATATGGAATCTTTGCATAAGGTGAGAGCTTCAATGGCTTTTCTTACCTTTCTTGAGCTTTCTTTTTCTCCCATTTGAACTCTTTCTTCTCAGGAACAGTTTTCTCTGCAGCAAATTCTTTGGCAACTTCCTTTTCTTTTTCCTTTTCAGTTGCAAGATCATCATCTTTCTTTTTCTCAACTGAAGGCTTTACCACAGGTTCAATGGCTTTC